TAAGGGTTTTAGGCTTTAGGGTTTGAAGGCTTTAGGCTTTAGGGTTTAAGGATTTTAGGATTTAGGGTTTAAGGGTTTGAGGATTTAGGGTTTAAGGGTTTGAGGCATGAGGGTTTAAGGGTTTGAGGATTTAGGGTTAAAGGGTTTTAGCATTCAGGGTTTCAGGGTTTGAGGATTTAGGGTTTAAGGGTTTTAGGATTTAGGGTTTAAGGGTTTTAGGATTTAGGGTTTAAGGGTTTGAGGCTTTAGGGTTTAAGGGTTTTAAGCTTTAGGGTTTAAGGGTTTTATGCTTTAGGGTTTAAGAGTTTTAGGATTTAGGGTTTAAGGGTTTGAGGCTTTCGGGTTTAAGGGTTTTAAGCTTTAGGGTTTAAGGGTTTTAGGCTTTAGGGTTTAAGAGTTTTAGGATTTAGGGTTTAAGGGGTTTAGGCTTTAGGGTTTAAGGGTTTTAGGATTTAGGGTCTAAGGGTTTTAGGATTTAGGGTTTAAGGGTTTTAGGATTTAGGGTTTCAAGGTTCAGTTCTTTTGGGCTTTAGGCTTTAGGGTTTTAGGGTTCAGGGCTTTGAGATCCGTCGGCTTTCTCACAGACAAAGACGGACACACATAGACATCTGCAGGCATGCCTTCATGCATACACGCATGCGCACAAGCAAAAATACATACATGGATCCATAACCACATAACCATACATACATAACACATACATACACACTTGATCACTTACTTACTGACTGACTTACTTACATCGAACCGAATCCTTCCCAAAGAGTGAAAAGGACTTCGGCTTTGTTTAGGCCGGTTGATGTAGCTCTGGGTGTGACGGCAAAGCCAAGAAACCCTAAAGTTCACCACCCTCCGGAAGTGTAATGCCAACACGCAGAGGATGCTTGTGCTTCGCCATATCAAGGTGCCCTTGTCGGCAATGATTTTTTCAGGCCCCGGAACCACAACAGAAGGCCAGAAGGAGTGTTTCAGTGGACATGTATGTTTGTCATGTGTGTGTGTGTCTCTGCATGCATGCATGCATGCATGGATGCATGCATTTAGGGCTTTCTTGTTTTTGAGATGCTTTGTAGGGTTTACGGTCTAGATTTTCGGGAAACATAAGCTCAAACGAGTCATATACTTGCGCAGGGCCCAGCAGACTGTTGGATTCAAGCATGCCCTAAACCAGCCATGTGGGTCAGGAGTATGTGAAGGCTCCAAGGGCATCCTGATGCTGTACCAAAGTGTGACCTCCTGAGATTCAAAGATTCCACATTAAACACTGTGAACCCTTTGACAAAGAATTCTCAAACCGGTGTTACACATTCCGAATGCACTGAAGTATTTCTATGCTTCGTGCTGCGTGCTTGAGGAATAGAGGGCCCTGACCGAACTCCCAACCCCTGCACCTCTAAACCCTAAAGTCCTAAACAAGTTTTGGCTTAGGGTTACAACCCTTCAACCCTACTTTAAACTCTAAGCCCTTAGCCCTAAATCCTGAAGCCCTAAACACTTCTTTAAACCCTCAACTCGCTGCCTCTGAACCTCAAAAACCCTGGGTGTGGATTCGGAGTTAAGCCCACTCCGGGTTTAGGACTGTAACCCTATCGCAAACCTAACTCAAGAGCCTCTTTACTTCAAATTTTCTTAGCTGTTGTGGTATCAGGATTGGAAGCTTTAGGCCTGCGAGGAGTCTTTGTCTGATGTAGCAGTGAAGGGTTGAGGGTTTGGCAGCTGATTTTGGATATTGTTTGGTCTGAGATATGACTGGGTTTAAACTTCTGGACCTTTAAGCATCCCTAAATTTGATGATTTTACAAGGAGGCGTTTAAAGACTACCCTAAACCCTCCACTCTAAACCCTGTCATCACCCGAACCGCAACCCTGGGTTGCAGGACTTTGGAGACTTGGAATTTTGAGGCTTGGCTTTCCCATTCTTCTAATGAAGATGAGCATCCCAAACCAGCCAACTTAGCTCAGGTTCCCACAATCGAAACGGACCCAAGTGCCAGCAGTTCCACGATCATTGATGATCCCTAAACCCTGAAACCCTTAGGTCCAGCAGCTCCGCTTACATCCCGCTGAATATCCCGATTCAGCTATAGTTGTAGGTGTATTTGTTCAGCTAAAATCCCCAAACCATAACAACTGACAGAAACAAAAACCAGAAGCCTGGACAACTTGGAAGTCGCCCACATTTGACCGGGATATGTTACATCTTATCTGTCTGTATTGCCATATATACATAGCACTTGTGCCCACACATGCTTACATGTATGCGGGCATGCGAATTTACACAGGGGGTCTGTACTACTATACTATACTACTCTAGACTAGAGTAGATGAGACTATACTGTACTATACTATGTCTTTCCATATTATGGTCGTCACTGAACCAGCTCAGTATAGTGGTGTCCTTACTGCTGGGCCTGCTGAATGAGGTTCAAGTTCCTGCCGATCGCCTCCGAAAGGGCTCTACAAAGAAAAGCTGGGGGAAGCTTAGGGTTGGGTTTAGCGTTTGGTGGTTTACGCTCTCACAACTCGGACATGCCAGGCGAGGATCCATGGTCGGAAGTCGGCATGATGCACATAGGGTTTAGTGGTTTTTTGCCTAGGATTTAGGGTCTAGGGCTGTAGAGCTTTGGGTTTCGCGTTTTATAGTTCGAGGTATAGGGCTTAAGGATTAACGCTTTAGGTTTGAGGTATAGGGCTCACATAGGTTAAAAAGTTTATGTAAGGTTTTGAATTTGGTGTCTAGGGTATCAAAGTCTACGTAAGATCGAGGCTCTGGGGTCGGTTCAACACCCAGTCCCAACGTTCATGGGTTTTGGGTGAAAAACGGATTTTTTTGGTTTTCTAGTGGAAAGCAAAAAAACGCAAGGTTTCGTTAAGGCGAAACCAAGGAAAAACCAAAAACTCATAAAGTTTCAAGGCCGTTACTAAGGTCTTAGATTTTGGGGTTTTTGGTTTCCGCCGAATCACCAAAATCCAAAAACCTAAAACCTTAGTAGCGACCCCGGAACTTTTGGACTTTTGGGTCTTCCTAGAGTTGTTTTTGTGGCTTTTGAGGAATGCGCGCTTTCATTTGTTTCAGTCTTCACTTGGGTCGTTCATAAGGTAGACACCTTACAAGAGAATTCCGATGGTGAATCATAAGCTTATAACCTAGTTCACTGGTCATCCAGTTGATCCCATGATATTTCATTCCTGTGGGCTTCTACCTACAGCGTTAAAGCTTAGGAATTAGTTGTGAGAAGATTACCTTAAGAATTACTTACAACACGATAAGAGTATTACATGATAAAGTTATAGCATTCGAAAGTCCCATAGTCTTTACAGGTATTTCCCAAGCCTTCATGAGGCTACATAAAAATATAGGTCATAAGATCTCTGATTTCGTTCGTTCATGGTTCGTGCCTTT